GATGAGGTGAATCATAGAATTGATGAGGAAAAAGAGTGAGTGGTGCACTTAGGAGTCTGTGGAGACAAAGAACTTTGTCCTTGGAGGCAAAGAGGGGAATGTATGAGAGTAATAGTTTTTACCAACGCTCTTATATGGTGTGTGAAGCGTGGGTGATGAATGTTGCAAGCGAGGAGAAGGCTGGAGGCAGTGGAGATGTCATGTCTGAGGGCAATGTGTGGTGTGAATATAATGCAGAGAATTCGTAGTTTGGAAGTTAGGAGGAGGTGCGGGATTACCAAAACTGTTGTCAGAGGGCTGAGGAAGGGTTGTTGAGGTGGTTCGGACATGTAGAGAGAATGGAGCGAAACAGAATGACTTCAAGAGTGTATCAGTCTGTAGTGGAAGGAAGGCGGGGTAAGGGTCGGCCTAGGAAGGGTTGGAGGGAGGGGGTAAAGGAGGTTTTGTGTGCGAGGGCTTGGACTTCCAGCAGGCATGCTTGAGCGTGTTTGATAGGAGTGAATGGAGACAAATGGTTTTTTAATACTTGACGTGCTGTTGGAGTGTGAGCAAAGTAACATTTATGAAGGGATTCAGGGAAACCGGCAGGCCGGACTTGAGTCCTGGAGATGGGAAGTACAGTGCCTGCACTCTGAAGGAGGGGTGTTAATGTTGCAGTTTAAAAACTGTAGTGCAAAGCACCCTTCTGGCAAGACAGTGATGGAGTGAATGATGGTGAAAGTTTTTCTTTTTCGGGCCACCCTGCCTTGGTGGGAATCGGCCGGTGTGATAATAAAAAAAAAAATATATATATATATATAAATCTTTAGCTCAAGTACTTTCACACTTGTCAATGTTGCAAGAGTAGCATCTGAAGAAATAAGAGGTCCCACACAATTTACCAATGAGACCCAGGAGCTGTAACATAATACAATTTAATATTCAGGCCCAGAAGTTGTAAAATAATGCAATTTAACAATGAGGCCCAGGAGCTGTAACACACAATTTGACAATGAGGCCCAGGAACTGTAACACACAATTTAACAATGAGGCCCAGGAACTGTAACACACAATTTAACAAGGCAAGCGAGTACTTTAAAAACATCCTTCTGTATATACCACTCAGGGGCTAAATTTACTCACTGTGCCGAAACTCTACGGATGTCCGGCGCCACATTTCATTTACTCTTCGGAAATACCGATTTTGAAGGAAAACTTGATCCGAAGAAGTGGAGCAAGAAAGGAGACCTCCCCCCACGAGACCCCCCTCCCAGCCAGCCTTGTGTTGCACAGGTTCAACAACGAGGGAGTGTTACTAACAATGTTATCTTGTGTCACTAACAGTGTTATCTTGTGTTTCAGGTACAGCAACGAGGGAGTGTTACTAACGTGTTATCTTGTGTCACTAACAGTGTTATCTTGTGTTGCACAGGTACAGCAACGAGGGAGTGTTACTAACAGTGTTATCTTGTGTCACTAACAGTGTTATCTTGTGTTGCACAGGTACAGCAACGAGGGAGTGTTACCAACGTGTTATCTTGTGTCACTAACAGTGTTATCTTGTGTTGCACAGGTACAGCAACGAGAGAGTGTTACTAACGTGTTATCTTGTGTCACTAACAGTGTTATCTTGTGTTGCACAGGTACAGCAACGAGGGAGTGTTACTAACAGTGTTATCTTGTGTTGAAAAGGTACAAAAACTAGGTAGTGTTGCCAACAATATTATCTTGTGTTACGAACAGTTTTATATTGTGTTACTAACAGTATTGTGTTACTAACATTGTTATCATGTATTATTAACAATATTATCTTCTGTTACTAACAGTCTTATCTTGAGTGTTATCTTGTGTTACTTACAGTGTTATCTTGTGTTACTTACAGTGTTATCTTGTGTTACTAACAGTGTTATCTTGTGTGACTAAAAGTGTTATCTTGTTTTACTGACAATATTATTTTGCCAGCTGTATTATCTTGAGTGTTATGTTGTATTACTAAGTGTTATCTTGTGTTACTAACAGTGTTATTTTGTGTTACTAACAGTACTCTTGTGTTGCAGAGGTACAGCAACGAGGGAGTGTTGGTGTTGGCTTGTGTTGCACACTGTGTTGAGAGTCGTGAGTACCACGAATATTATGTATAGTAAAAGGACACAAGTGCAACTAACGTGACATTTTTATTGTGGCAACGTTTCGCTCTCCAGGAGCTTTGTCAAGCTGTTACAAACAGTACATGGACACAGAGGGTATATATAGGCTCAGAGTGAAGTGCAATATTAGTGGTAGTAGTAGTAGTGATATAAGTTGTAGTAGTAGTAGTAGTAGTAGTAATAGTAAGTAGTAGTGTAGTAGTAGTAGTAGTAGTAAAGTATTAGTAGTAGTAGTAGTAGTAGTAAGTTAGTTAGTAATAGTAGTAGTAGTAGTAGTAGTAGTGGTAGTAGTAGTAGTAGTAGTAGTAGTAGTAGTAGTAGTAGTAGTAGTAGTAGTGGTAGTAGTAGTAGTAGTAGTAGTAATAGTAGTAGTAGTAGTAGTAGTAGTATAGTTAGTAGTAAGTAGTAGTAGTAGTAGTAGTAGTAGTAGTAGTATAGTAGTATAGTAGTAGTAGTGTAGTAGTAGTAGTAGTAGTAGTAGTAGTAGTGGTAGTAGTAGTAGTAGTGGTAGTAGTAGTAATAGTAGTAGTAATAGTAGCAGTAGTGGTAGTAGTAGTAGTAGTAGTAGTAATAGTAGTAGTAGTAGTAGTAGTAGTAGTGCTAGTAGTAGTAGTAGTAGCAGTAGTAGTAGTAGTAGTACTACTACTACTACCACTAGTATTGCACCTCACTCTGAGCCTTTATATACCCTCTGTGTCCATGTATTGTTTGTAATGGCTTGATAAACCTCCTGGAGAGCGAAACGTTGCCACAATAAAATGTCACATTAGTTGCACTTGTATCCTTTTACTTTACATATTGTCGATAATTCTACCAACTTTGTTACAAACATTTTGCAACGTTTCGCCCTCTGTCAACCTTGTTGCAATGTCCACCGCTTTATATCACTGTGTAGAACTTTATCATACCATGTAAAGCTTTAGCACTCTGTATAGAGCTTTATAACACTTTTGTAATACTGTATAGAGCTTTATCACACTGTGTAGAGCTTTATAACAATTGTAACACTGTGTAGAGGTTTATCACCCTGTGCAGAGCTTTTTCACTCTGTGTAGAGCTATATAACACTTTTGTAACACTGTGTAGAGCTACTATTTAGAACTTTATAACATCATGTAGAGTTTATCGCTCTGTGTAGACCTTTTATAACACTGTGTAGACCTTTGTTACTCTATGTAGACCTTACAACGCTGTGTAGAGCTTTATAACACCGTGCAGAGCTTTATAACACCGTGCAGAGCTTTATAACACCGTGCAGAGCTTTATAACACCGTGCAGAGCTTTATAACACCATGTAGATCTTTATAATACTGTGTTCAGATTTAAAACACTATTTAAAGCTTTATAACAATGACTATACTTTTATCATTTAGTACAGAGCTTTGTAGCACCGTGTAGAGCTTTATAGCACCGTGTAGAGCTTTATAGCACCGTGTAGAGCTTTATAGCACCGTGTAGAGCTTTATAGCACCGTGTAGAGCTTTATAGCACCGTGTAGAGCTTTATAACACCGTGTAGAAGCTTCAAAACACCGTATAGAGCTTTATGACAATTTAAAGCTTTATAATTCTGTGTAGAGCTTTATAACACTGTAGACCTTTATAAGACTATGTAGAGCTTTATAAGTCTGTGTAGATCTGTATAAGACTAATATTAATGTCTTGTTCCACAGACAGACAGACCACAGACATCACTTGCTGTAACACAGACGGCTGTAACGCTGCTTGGGCGGCCCGCCCATTATCCATGGTGGTATACCTGCTGGCCGCCCTCCTGGCTATCGTGGGCGGCTGTCTCCCCACCACCGCCCACTAGCCGCCCTCCTGGCTGTCGTGGGCGGCTATCTTCCAACCACCACCCACTAGCCGCCCTGGCTGTCGTGGGCGGCTATCTTCCAACCACCGCCCACTAGGCGCCCTCCTGGCTGTCGTGGGCGGCTGTCTCCCCACCACCGCCCACTAGCCGCCCTCCTGGCTGTCGTGGGCGGCTATCTTCCAACCACCGCCCACTAGGCGCCCTCCTGGCTGTCGTGGGCAGCTATCTTCCAACCACCGCCCACTAGGCGCCCTCCTGGCTGTCGTGGGCAGCTATCTTCCAACCACCGCCCACTAGGCGCCCTCCTGGCTGTCGTGGGCGGCTGTCTCCTCACCACCGCCCACTAGCCACCCACTGGCCGCCCTTTAACACCTGTTCCTCGCATCCAACGCCACCAAACTCACCTGTGTTTCAGGAGAAAGCGGTAAACACGCAAGGTGTCATACGGTGACCTTGACTTTGCTGTTGTCTAAAGGTGTCTGCCTCCAGACCCTTGGATCAAGGTGCTTCACAAGATCTAAGGTGCCTTTGTAACAATGCTCTTCACCAGCATCAAGGTACCTTTGTAGCACTGTTATTATCCAGCATCAAGGCACCTTTGTAATATTCTTATTCACCAGCATCACGATACCTTTAGAACAATGCTATTCACCAGCATCAAGGTACCTTTGTTATATTATTATTCACCATCATCAAGGTACCTTCGTAACAATGATATTCGTCAGCACCAAGCTACCTTTGTAGCAATACTCTTCACCAGCATGAAGGTACCATTGTAGCAATGTTCTTCACTGGCATCAAGATACATTTTAACAATGTCACACACAAGCATCACGGTACCTTTGTAACATTGTTATTCACCAGCACCAAGGGACCTTTATAACACTGCTATTAATCAACATCAAGGTACCTTTGCAACAATGTTATTCACAAGCATCAAGGTATTTTGTAACACTGTTCTTCAACAGCTTCAAGGTACATTTGTAACAATGTTTTCCACCAGCATCAATGTACCTTTGTTACAATGTTCTCCACCAGCATCAACGTACCTTTGTAACAATGTTCTCCACCAGCATCAAGGTACATTTGTTACAATGTTCTCCACCAGCATCAAGGTACCTTTGTTACAATGTTCTCCACCAGCATCAACGTACCTTTGTAACAATGTTATCCACCAGCATCAAGGTACCTTTGTAACAATGTTCTCGACCAGCATCAAGGTACCTTTGTAACAATGTTCTCCACCAGCATCAAGGTACCTTTGTAACAATGTTCTCCACCAGCATCAAGATACCTTTGTAACAATGTTCTCCACCAGCATCAAGATACCTTTGTAACAATGTTCTCCACCAGCATCAAGATACCTTTGTAACAATGTTCTCCACCAGCATCAAGATACCTTTGTAACAATGTTCTCCACCAGCATCAAGGTACCTTTGTAACAATGTTCTCCACCAGCATCAAGATACCTTTGTAACAATGTTCTCCACCAGCATCAAGATACCTTTGTAACAATGTTCTCCACCAGCATCAAGATACCTTTGTAACAATGTTCTCCACCAGCATCAAGATACCTTTGTAACAATGTTCTCCACCAGCATCAAGGTACCTTTGTAACAATGTTCTCCACCAGCATCAAGATACCTTTGTAACAATGTTCTCCACCAGCATCAAGATACCTTTGTAACAATGTTCTCCACCAGCATCAAGATACCTTTGTAACAATGTTCTCCACCAGCATCAAGATACCTTTGTAACAATGTTCTCCACTACCATCAAGGCACCTTTAGAAGCAGCAGTTAAAGACATGTAAAGATTCTCACTGGGGGAGGAAGGGAGGGCAACGTTTAGCCCAGTGAAGATACTTGATAAAGTCTCCACCGAGCGAAAACGTTGTACATGTTCTCCCACAATCCAGAGTCCTTTGAACAAGGTTGCCAACGTCGCTAATGAATAAAATCCTTAATATGCGTAAAATTTTATGGGTATAAGACAACGTATTAGTATGTAATATAAATCTATGAGGAATACGTATGTGTAAATATAGTATCCACATCCATATTATATAATAAAATTATTAATATCTTATAATATATTTGTATATATAAAATATTATATTTATATATATATATATATATATATATATATATATATATATATATATATATATATATATATATATATATATATAAGGTTGAATGATAGCTCTAGGCCTTTCGTGTTGCAATAGACACTTCATCAGGAGGTTGCAGTATTGCAGTCTTGCTGTATTTCCAGTTGCGCAACACTGCAAGCTCCTGATGAAGTATCGAATGCAAGATGAAAGGCCCAGAGCTACCATTCAACCCCCCTGTAGTTATTTAATAAATGTAATAATTGATGATAGTTAAGAGGAAACCGCTAAACACGTAAGGGTTTTCCGCCTCCTTGGCCACGAGGGTTTGATCCAGTTCCTGGGATCAAGAGACCTTCAGCATCACCATGACTACTTTATACTTGACTTTATTACGATGGAGTCTTGATCCAAGGAGCAGGAGCTAGCCTCTCTTTCCTCGGATCAAGGAGGAGGAAGAACTCTATGAACCCTACGGGTGTGACGCTTCCTGGACAGTATAATAATATTATTACTCTTGGTGTCTTTATTGAATATAAAATATAAATAAAAATTGGATTTTATTATCCCGTGGCTGACTGACTGACTGACTGACTGACTGACTGACTGACTGACTGACTGACTGACTGACTGACTGACTGACTGACTGACTGACTGACTGACTGACTGACTGACTGCTGAACTGACTGACTGACTGGCTGACTGACTGATGACTGACCTGACTGACTGACTGGACTGACTGACTGACTGACTGACTGACTGACTGACTGACTGCTGACCTGACTGACTGACTGACTGACTGCTGACTGATGACTGACTGACTGACTGACTGGACTGACTGACTTGTACTGACTGAGACTGAGACTGACTGACTGACTGACCTGACTGAACTGACTGACTGATGCTGACTGACTGATGCTGACTGACGACTGACTGACTGACTGACTGACTGAGCTGACTGACGCTGACTGACTGGGCTGACTGACTGACGACTGACTGAACTGACTGACTGACTGACTGACTGACTGGCTGACTGACTGACTGACTGACTGACTGACTGACTGACTGACTGACTGCTGGCTGACTGACTGACTGACTGGACTGGGCTGACCTGATGACTGACTGACTGACTGACTGTGACTGACTGTGAGCTGACGACTGATGACTGACTGACTGACTGACTGACTGACTGATGACCCGACTGACTGCTGCTGACTGACTGACTGATGACTGATGCTGACATGAGCTGACTGATGACTGACCTGACTGAGACTGACTGACTGACTGACTGACTGACCTGACTTTACTGACTGAACTGACTGCTGACTGACTGACTGACTGACTGACTGACTGACTGACTGGATCTGACTGACTGACTGACTGACTGGACTGACTGACTGACTGACTGACTGCTGGCTGACTGGACTGACTGACTGACTGACTGGACTGTATGACTGACTGACTGGACTGACTGACTGACTGACTCTGACTGACTGACTGACTGACTGGCTGACTGACTGACTGACTGCTGATGCTGACTGAACTGACTGCTGATGACTGACTGGCTGACTGACTGACTGACTGACTGACTGACTGACTGACTGACTGACTGACTGGACTGACTGATGACTGACTGATGACTGACTGACTGACTGACTGATGCTGGACTGACTGACTGACTGACTGACTGACTGACTGACTGAGCTGACTGAGACTGGCTGACTGGACTGACTGACTGACTGACTGACTGACTGCTGACTGACTGCTGACTGCTGGCTGACTGACTGACTGACTGACTGACTGATGACTGACTGACTGACTGGACTGACTGACTGACTGGACTGACTGACTGACTGACTGACTGATCTGCTGACTGACTGACTGACTGCTGACTGACTGACTGACTGACTGACTGACTGACTGACTGCGACTGACTGACTGGGACCTGACATGACTGACTGGACTGACTGACTGACTGACTGACTGCGACTGGACTGACTGAGCTGACTGACCTGACTGCTGACTGACTGACTGACTGACTGGACTGACTGACTGACTGGCTGACTGACTGACTGGAGTGCTGACTGACTGCTGACTGACTGACTGACTGACTGCTGACTGACTGACCTGACTGGACTGACTGACTGACTGACTGACTGATGACTGACTGCTGACTGATGACTGACTGACTGACTGACTGACTGACTGACTGACTGATACTGACTGACTGACTGACTGTGACTGCTGACTGCTGACTGACTGACTGCGACTGACTGACTGGACTATGACTGACTGACTGGACTGACTGACTGATACTGACTGACTGACTGACTGACTGACTGGACTGAAGACTGACTGACTGACTGACTGACTGACTGAGAACTTGACTGACTGCTGACTGACTGACTGACTACTGACTGCATGCTGACTGACTGACTGACTGACTGACTGGACACTGAACTGACTGACTGACTGTACTGGCGACTGACTAACTGACTGACTGACTGGCTGACATGACTGACTGACTGACTGACTGACTGACTGCGACTGACGATGACTGACTGACTTGACTTGACTGACTGACTGAGCCTGACTGACTGGCTGACTGGACTGAGCTGAACTGGCTGGACTGACTGACTGACTGACTGACTGGAACTGGGAGACACTGACTGACTGACTGACTGACTGACTGACTGGACTGACTGACTGACTTGGACTGGAGACTGACTGCTTGACTGACTGACTGGACTGACTGACTGACTGACTGGACTGCTGACTTGACTGACTGGACTGACTGAAGACTGACACTGACTGACTGACTGACTTTACTGACTGACTGACTGGCTGACTGGACTGACTGACGACTGACTGACTGACCTGACTGATACTGACTGACTGATTGACTCTGACTGGACTGCACTGACATGGTGACTGAACTAGCTGACTGAACTGAACTACTGAAGCTGACTGACTGACTGACTGACTGATGACTGACTACTGAACTGACTGACTGTGACTGACTGACTGGACTCGACTGACTGAACTGACTGTGACTGACTTGGACTGACTGGACTGACTGGAACTGTGGACTGCTGAACTGGGACTGACTGGCTGACTTGTGACTTTGGCTGAGACTTGACTAGATGATACTGAGACTGGCACTCTGACTTGGATGAGACTTGATGACGACTGAGCTGACTGACTGACTGACTGTATGCCACTGGTGACTGGACTACTGACTACTGGAACTACTACTACTGACACTTGGATGCCTGGACTATGTGATGCTGACACTACTGACTACATAATGTGCACATGATATACATGACACTTAGGATAACTAGGCATATATATACTGTATCAAACTGACTAATAATGCTGACACTGAACACTGAGATGTTACTACAAACTATGATAAACTAAGCTGCTTGGAACACTGGAAACTGATGATGAAACTGCTGGATACACTTGTAACACTGGATACTATTGACACTGTACTGCTTGGCTGACTGACACTGGACTGACTACTGCTAACTTCTGAGGACACTTGGGACGACCTGTGAACACTTTGGATCGCTTGGTAGCTGACTTGCACACTTGGACACTGACTACTATGGAATACCTGACAACTTGGAACACTGGACACTATGAATATTCTTTTGAACACTTGAAGACTGTAACTGGACATGACACTTGGACACTGTGGATACTGAAAACTTGAACACTAGATACCTTGATACAGCTTGAAGCACCTGGCTCTTTGGACTAACTTAGAAAACTTGAACACCTGAACACTGGAACCACTAGAAAACTGGAACGACTACCTTGCAACCTTGAACCTGACATGAACTGATTCCTGAACTACTGTGAACGACCTGAACTACTTGAACTCTTGACTACTTGAACTGACTGACACACTTGGACACTGTGAATCACTTTACACAATTGTACTGAACACTTGTAGATTCAACTGGATAACAACTTGGATACACTGAAACTTGAACATCTGGAACTTAGAACATTAATTGAATCATGAACACCTAAACTGAGAATTGAGATGAAAACTTGGAACATGGAATACTTGAATATTTGAAACTTTAATAACTGGAACTTGCAATGCACCTGACACTTGGAACCCTTGATAACACTCACCTGAACTGGCTTGGAACTTGATTCACTTTGAGACCTTGTGAACACCTGAACACTTGGCACATGGCGACCTGGACACTTGGAATACCTGGTAAACTTGAACATTGGAATCAATTGGAACCTACTGGAACCACACTTCAGGAACACTAAACTGCATCTTGGAACCAGTTGAGAACACCTGGTGCTGGCACTTGATTGGAATTGGAACACTGGAAACCTCGAACACGTTGAACACATGGATTTACACTGAAACTTGGTAACCTTTGGGTAGTACTTAAACACTTTGATATTTGGTCCGATGGTACACTTCATTGTAAATTATGGAGGTGGTAATGTGTGAGTTGGTAGGTGGCCCGAGGTATGGTGTGAGGTGGAATGAGCTCACTGGAAATTGTATCTGTGCAGCCTGAGCAAATGGAACGCTTACATGTTTTTGAGTTTGGGTCTAGTGGTGTGGTGGTTATCATAATTTGACTATTATGTGGTTGCAAGTCATTCAAACTCTGGCACACTGTCACTTAGGCACTGGGAAGGTTTATAACTGTGAAGGTGTTATATGTTGGATCCTGTCTCCACTACATCTCTTTCCAGATTGTTCTACTTCCTAACAACTCTATAGCTGAAGAAATACTTCCTAACATCCCTCTGACTTATCCAGTTTTCAACTTCCAGTTGTGTCTCCTTGTTGCTGTGTCCCATCTCTGAAACATCCTGTCTCTGTCCACCTTGTTAATTCCTCTCAGTGTTTTAAATATTATCATGTTCCTCTCTCCCTCCTATCCTCTAGTGTCATCAGGTTGATTTCCCTTAACCTCTCCTCGTAGGACATACCTCCTAGCTCTGGGACTAGTCTTGTTGCAAACCTTTGCACTTTCTCCAATTTCTTTACGTGCTTGGCTAGATGTGGGTTCCAAACTGGTGCCGCATACTCCAATATGGGCCTAACGTACACGGTGTACAGAGTCTTAAACGATTCCTTACTGAGGTATCGGAACGTTATTCTAAGGTTTGCCAAGCGCCCATATGCTGCAGCAGTTATTTGGTTGATGTGCGCCTCAGGAGATGTGCTCGGTATTATACTTACCCCAAGATCCTTTTCCTTAAGTGAGATTTGCACCTAGCCTGTAATCTGTCTGCGGTCTTCTTTGACCTTCCCCAATCTTTATGACCTTGCCATTGGTGAAGTTAGACTCCAGTAGCCAGTTACTGGGCCAGGTCTGCAAATCCCTTTGTAGTCCTCCCTGATCCTGTTCCACTTAAATTCTCTTCATTAGCTTCATGTCGTCTGCAAATGGGGACACCCCTGAATCTATTCCTTCCGCCATGTCATTCACAAATACCAGAAACAGCACTGATCCTTGGACTGACCACTGTGGAGCCCCGGTCGTCACAGGCGCCCACTGTCACACCTCATCACGTACCATGACTCGTTGTTGCCTCCCTGTCAGGTATTTTCTGATTCATTGCAGTGCCCTTCCTGTTATACGTGCCTGATCCTCCAGCTGTGGAACTGTGTCGAAATCCTTCTTACAGTTCAAGAAAATACAATCTACCCACCCCTTTCTCTCTTGTCTTCTGTCACCTTACCATAAAACTCTAGTAGGTTTGTGACACAGGATTTTCCCTCCCTGAAACCGTTCTGGTTATCGTGATTAAGTTCAATCCTTTTCAGGTGTTCCACCACTCTTCTCCTGATAATTTTCTCCATAACTTTACATACTATACATGTCAGTGACACTGGTCTGTAGTTTAATGCTGCGTGTCTGTCTCCTTTCTTAAAAATTAGGACTACATTTTGCTGTCTTCCATACCTAAGGTAGTCGCTCTGTTTCGATAGATGTGCTGAAGATTGTTGTTAGTGGTACTGTACACATAGTGTCTCTGCTCCCTCTCTCAGGACACACGGAGAGATGTTGTCCGGTCTCATCACCTTTGAGGTATCTAGTTCACTTAGCACCTTCTCTTCGTTTGTGTGTGTGTGTGTGTGTGTGTGTGTGTGTGTGTGTGTGTGTGTGTGTGTGTGTGTGTGTGTGTGTGTGTGTGTGTGTGTGTGTGTGTGTGTGTGTACAAGTGTGCACACTGCTGGTGAACGTGCCTCTCCCAACATACACTTCAGAATGTTTATACACAATATTGAAGGTTCATAATAAGAATCAATGTTACATCTTGTGTTTTGTATCAAGAGAACAAACATTGCCAGCCAGGAATATCTTGTGGCAATGACGTCAACAACACACTTAACTGAAGCACTCAGCAGGTTGCTGAACACTGAGAACACTATAACACTGTTATTGGTG